ATTAATTAATAATATTAGATGATCATTAGCATTAGGGTTGTTATTATCTTTTGATTACCTTGTAGAATGACTTTAGAAACAACGGTATTTTAATATTGAGAGATATTGAAAGTAAAGTTTTCAAAACAACAGCCCTATATCGACATTGCGTCTCTTCCATTTTATCATATCTTTCTAAATACTTTTCTAATATTATCCATGCTTTGACTCTATCTGATCCCTGTATAGTCCTTGAAAATTCATTTTCTTTCACCCAACTGTATGCATTATCACTATAATAATCAAGGTAGCAAAGAATAAATTAAAATATATATATAATATATATACACATATATAAATTTATTACAACATATGATAACAATAAATACCTATAATGACTGGTTGTATGTAGATCAGCTGCACATTTATTCGTCATATTTGCAAATATATCATCAAAAGCAAGATTGTGTGCATTTGCTACAGAAATAGCTAAATCAAATTTATTTACATAACTACACATCCTGACAATTTCATTAACATTACCAATCCTAACTGAAATCAATATTTGAGTAACATAATAAAAAATAAAATTATCCACACTAATTAATACTAATATTTTTAGTGTATTTGTCAATGTATTTAATTATAATTATAAATTTTTTTTCAGATACCTTCTTCTAAAGGTTGATGATGCCCCAATTCTAATCTTGCCATTGATAGTGTATAGTCTTGCCGTATCTTTTGTATATTAATCATTTCCAATTTGTCACAATTCCCTAAATAAATAATATACATATATTTAAACAAGCTCCTTTTATAAGTAAAAAAAAAATTACACACACACACGCATATATATATCAAAGAATCCAAATTATTTTAAAATTTACCAGATGTACCATCATCTTTTTTCCTCTTTTTTAACGCCTAAAATTATTGTTATTGTAAAGTTCAAAAATTTTTAATATTAAAATTTAAAAAAAATCAAGGTCATTTTATAAAATTACCCGTCCTTCATCATCATCATTGAAAATATTTACGTAATAGAACCATGCATCATCGGGTTCAAGCAATTTTAATGTGTTCATCGATGTCAAATAACTAGTCGCTACTTCAGTCATTGCCTTTTGAAAGTTATCAAAATTCAAACATGCTGCTTCGACTTTTTTGCCATATTGATAAAAATTAATTAATCCAGTAAATATATTAAATAACAAACCGTCTTTATATTTTACGAGACATCTAACGTAATAGGAATATAATATCCTAGAATAGTTTGTTGGTTTTGTAACTACATGGCGATGAGCTTGAAGTTCCATTATACTTTCAAAATCTTTTCGATAATTTATAAATGATAATTCGGAAAGATACTTTGTTTCGTTTTTTTCACATAATCCAATAACAAGTGCTTTTAATTGTTTAAGTGCTCTGCAATAACAAATTAATAACTAAATTAATGTTCATATTAATATTTAAATTTAAAGAGAAATCTCTTAATTAAAGAAATAATTACTCTTTTATATTAGGATTAGATGTAAGTGCAGAATACG